TCCTGCTTCTCCTCCATGTGGCTGGAGAATCCCCTGTCTGTCCTGGGGCCCTACACATGGCTGAGGGAATTCCTCGTTTCCCCCTGCAATGCTGCATACCACACAAGGCAGCTATACCAGTGATCTCCAGCACTCAACACCACTACAGAAACCACTGCCTGGGCTACGCTGTGGTCTTGCCTTCTAGGGAAATTCTGCCCAGCATCTGTGGGACCTACACCAAGTGAGCACACCACCCTGCTACCTTGAGGCAAGGTTGAACTTCCCCAGCCCTATGGTCAGGCGATCAGGCCTCAGCTATCTCCTTACTTACTATTCTTTTTCTTCTCTCTTTATTCTCTCTCCCTTTTCTCTTTCCCACTGCAGTCCATCTCAGTGGACCCAGTTCTGTTTTGGTTTTTTTTCTCTTTTTCTTTCTTTATTTTTCCTCTTCTCTCACTCTCTTTCCTTTCATTCGCCACTGCTGGCTTCCGGACCACTACCCTCTGCCTAGGGCAACTCTGCCCATCCAGCAAGAGGAACTCCAGCCTGCCCTCTGTGGGAGCACTGCACACCTCACAAGGCAGCTGTGGCAGCCCTCTACAACACTCCATGCTGCTGAGGAAACCTCTCTCTGGCCTCTATAGTGACCTTGCTGGCTAGGGCAATTCCGCCCTGCACCGGTGGGACCTTGCACCAAAGGGACACACCAACCTTCCACCTTGGGGCAGGGTTTAAACCCCTCAAGCCCCATGTGCAGGTGACCAGGGAATCAGCTATCTCTTTACTCTTTATCTTCTCTCTTTCTTCTCTCTTTTTCCACCACAATCAGTCTAAGAGATCACAGTTGTGTTTTTCCCCTTCTTTCTCTTTCTTTCTTTCTTCACCTTCCTCTTTTTTTATTCTTTCATGCTTCTTTCCTCTCCCATTTTTTCCTTCCACATGCCACTGCTGGCTTCTAACCCACTACCCTATACCTAGGGTACTCTGTCCACCCAGTGGGGAGACCTCCAGCATGCCTCCTATGGCAGTGCCGCACATGAAATGAGGCAGTGCTACACACAGCATGGCACGGGGCTCAGATATCTCTTTATCTATTTTCTTCCTTTATTTTCTTTCGCTTTTTCTTCTTTTTAGCTCTTCTGTCTTTTCTCTCTTTTCTGCCACAGTCTCAACAGATTCAGTTTTTCTTTTTTTTACTGTTTTGTTGTTATTTTGCCTTTGCTTTTGTGTGTGTGTTTTAGTTTGTTTTTAAATTTTGCTCTTTCTTTGTTTTCTGCTCTCTCTCTCTTTCTTCCCTTTCCCCTCACTTCCCTTTCAAAAGCCAGTAGCAGCTTCCAGGCCACTCCCCTCTGTCTAGGGCAGGGGTGTCAAACTGGCGGCCCGCAGGCCCCATTCAGCCCCCAAAGTAATTTTTTGTGGCCCACAATGCTCTGAAATAAAATGAAAATAGAAAAAATGTTATGAAGAAAATAGCACTTAGGGGAGATCGAGGCAATGCCATACACACAATTCCCTCATTAACCCTTTAACCACTGAAGATGAGTATACACACAGCCCAGTGCTTTTCCTGGGGGCCTCTGAACGTGTATAAACACACTGACTCAGTTCCGGCGACATTTGGAAGCAATATGTCCACCACTCTCAGTGTCACATAATGTAAACAGATCCCAATAGTGAAAAGGTTAAAAAGAGCACTGTAGGTTGTGCTGCTATGAATCATAGATAGTGGCACTGCTAGTTAACATTGTTAGAGGGAAGCCATTACAATTGTGCACCGTGTTTGTCAGCTGTCCAACATTTTGTGTTTTTTATTAGTTAGTTTGTTATATTTTTCCAGTCACAACATAAGAGGTAAGTGAAAAGTAGCAGGAGGAAAGTTCTGGCAAGTTTTTTTTTGGAAATAATAATTGTAGTTTTATAAATACATTAAATAAAATAAATGTTTAAATAAAAGCATTTGTATACTGTTTTAATTATCCTATCCATATTCCTGAACCCTCACTTCCAAATATAAGTTTATCAAACTTTGTAAATGTGATGTGGCCCCCATGAATCTTGACTGTTGCAACAAATGGCCTATATTTTAATTGAGTTTGACACCCCTGGCCTAGGGCAACTCTGATGGGCCAGTTGGGGGCGTTCCTGCCTGTACTTGTTGTATTTACACGCATCTAGGGAAATCACACCCACGGCTGGGGGATCTCCCCTTCAAACAGCTAGGGTAACTCCAGCCTATACCCCAAGGCCCTACAAGGGACTAGGGGAACTCCTGCCAGCTGTTTGTGGTGCTCCACACTACTGTAGGAACATCCATCCAAACTCCACAGCAACCTCTCTAATGAGGGTAATTCCACCTGCCATCCACAGTCCTCCACACCAAGGCAGGTACACCCATCTGTTCTCCGTAATATTCCAGTTGCAGAGGGCAACACCACATGCCATCTGAGGCACTCCAAGCCCCGTAAGACACACCACTATGGCTTTCTGGGAGATCAGCCAGTGAAACACCATATTTATGGGCCCACAACTACCCTACCAGCATCCTGTGAGAGAACTATTCAACTCACAGTCCAAATAACGGAATACTGGTAGGACTATTCAACTCACATTCCAAATAACGAAATACTGGTTGGCTAGGGTAAGAGTGAAATGACAGGAAGATACAATGGTAGCCTGAACCCCCAGTGCAACTACCTGCAGGTTGTTTGAAGAAGCACTCAGACAAGTCCCCCATGAGAGAGCCAGTGCCATTCGACTCTGGAAGATGGGGTCAGGCTCCCCTAAAACAACATGTAAACAGCAACCAGTGCCAACAGCCTCAACGCAAAAACAGGAGAAACAGAAGACAATTCAAGAAGAAGTCATGAACCTAATCAGATACAAAGATGAAGCAGACATTGACCTGCCATAGAAAGAAATCTTCAGAATGCAGTTTAGAGTCATACAGGATATGAGGGGAGCAATACAGAAAAAGGAGGAAATGATAGTGGAGATAAAGGCAATTCACCAAAGGGAAATACAAGACCTAAGGGATAAAATAACAAAACCAGTAGCAAATTAACAGACTTTAGGAGGCAGAGAATCACACCAGTGACCTAAAGGATAACCAGCCAGACTTCAACAAATGGGAAAAGCAGTCCAATAAGACAATCAGAGAAGCTGAAGGAAACCTGAACACCATGTCTGATGGTATGAATAGGACTAATATTAGAATAATTGGATTACAGGAAAAGACACAACCAAGAAGTCAACAGCAAAAATAGCAAGGGAATTCTTAGAGGAAAACTTCCCCAGCTTAATAA